GCGAAATTCAAAACAAACAAACAAACATTGGGTCCATCGGGAGATACATACATCTTTTCAGTTTTGCGGTTTTATTGGTGATTTTTTACAACTTTTCATGTCCTAAGATAACCTTTCATTAATCATGAATTTATGTGACTTCCATCTAGGGGACTGGTACTCCAGCTAGTGTACAAATAATTTCATGATAATTATACTATGCTTCTGATATCATTTTCTACACCCTTAGTACTTTTGGCTCATTTTCGATAAGCTTAGATTTAGTAGATATATAAATAAGGCATTTATAGATAATATTGTGCTTATTTTTCAGATAAATCAACTGAAGAGGGACTTGGCAACTAAGGTTTCTTTGCTTCAGGTTTACACACAAGATCTTGATACATCTTCTGAAACAACCACACCCACGTAAGTGGTTTTGCTTCTGTTTGTTTTAATATTTTTTTGGTCTAATAGATTTGTAATAGGACAATTTGTTTTGAATTTCATGCAAAGTTACATGAAGGCTATCTCAGCTATCCATCCCTAATTTAACAGTGATAGACTAGAGGGAAGACAGCTAGTCAACACCACTCAATGCCAACTCTTGGGCTACTCTTTTACCAACGAATAGTGGGGTTGACCATCACATTATAATGCTCCTATGGCTAAAAGGGTGAGCATGTTCAGTGATGGGGATTCAAACCTGCGACCTGCAGATTGCGAGTCGAAAGCTCTAACTACTGTAATAGGATGGATCTCTCAAGTACTAGTGCACTAGGCCCGGCATGGCCAGGAGGTTAGGGAGTTCGACTCGCAATCTGCGGGTCGCGAGTTCGAATCCCTGTCCCACCAAACATGCTCGCCCCTTTCAGCCGTGGGGGCGTTGTAATGAGACGGTCAATCCCACTATTCGTTGGTAAAAGAGTAACCGAAGAGTTGGTGGTGGGTGGTGATGACTAGCTGCCTTCTTACACTGCTAAATTAGGGATGGCTAGTGCAAATAGCCCCCCGTATAGCTTTGCACAAAATTCAAAACAAACATATTAGTGCATTAACAAATGTTTAAAAATAATAAAGTTGTTTTTAATTCTTCTTTTAAACAGTGATCATGCAGGCTTTGACTGGGACTTCTTACACAAGAAAGTTCAAGAACTTGAGGAGAAAAATCTTGAACTTCGTTCGGAGGTTTGTAAATTCATAGAAGACTATCAGTAATGTTTTCATGTGTTTCTAGTTATTTATTAATATTCTTCCATGTGTGAAACTTTAACACATTACAATAAATAACTTATAATTTTAACAGGTTTTAGAGTGACAATTAATATATATGTATTTGTCATCAGCAATTTCATTTTACATTAAACATTGTTATAATGGCATTTAAAATTTGATTTATTATATTTCAATAATTCTGTTTTTTAACATTTTAAAGAAGGACCATTAATAATTTATGAACACTGTGAGCTCAGTTCAGGAGAAAAATTATTTTTGGATTTGTAGGTTAATTTGCAAGAAGCAACTCTTGAACAGGAAGAAAAGAAAGAAATGCAGATTTTACACGAATTTGTCAAAGAATTAAGTAAGTCTAATATTCTTCCTTTATTTTCTTCATACTTGAGATGTATAAAAGGCTTGAATGGAATAAATAAAACTCGGGGATTAATAAAATAACTGAATTACTAAGAAAAAATCCATTATAACGAATCTTTATCAAAGTTATGCTTTACACAAACATTCAATTGTATAAAACATTGCTCAAAACATTGGAAACTTAATAGAAGAACAACATTTTTGATTTTTCCCTGTGAATTATGATCAACTATTTTATAGGATTTATATTAACATATGCTGAGTGGCAACTTTATGAAAAAAAACCTTCATCCAGATTTGTAGTTCACTCCATTTCTATCCATATGCAAAATATATTGATAATGTGATGGGTAAGGTGACTAGTTCAGCCCCATAAGTCCAAGAAATGAGTTATTTCTGATTAGTTTACAAGATAAAGTTAAGAGCAGGGATGGTGTCTGTCTAACAGAAGCACCATTATTAAAGACCATTTCTTTAACCGGCTTTTCATTAGAGATTGTCAACCTTGTCAGTCCTAACTGAATACATCTGTGTAGCCATAAACCACTGGTAACTGAATGAATAAAAATATGGTTGATTGGACAGTGCAATAGATGTCATATTGTGTTTGTATTTTTGTTAATAAACACAAAGCTACACAATCAAAGGTATCAAAACTCAGTTTTTAGTGTTATAAGCCTTCAAGTGAGATTGTGTTCTAATTGGTTGATTCCTTCAACAGGATTTGATTATCTCCAGCTGTACCACATGTAATAAACATTGTAAAAATTATCATGTGGTTGCTAATGTACTGTCAATAAACTTTTTGTTTTCTGTCACGGGATGAGTTATTTTATTCATTTAGAAGGGCAAATAACATACATTATGTACTAGATGAGGGGGGTCTGCATAAATTGATTACCTGATGATGCTAGGTAAACCTATCAAAATATGGTGTTTTTTTAAACACATTTATTTGTTTATCCATAAATAAAAGTATTTTTAGATTGACAAATAATTGAATCAGAATTTCAATTTGATTTACTTGTATTTCATTAGCTGATGCTAGAAAACAGATCGCAACACTTCAGGAAGAACAGGAGAAAAAATCGGATGATTTTTTTCGTCAACAAGAGGAGGTGACCGGTCTTTTGTCCCAAGTAGTGGACTTACAGCATCAAGTTCGTTCGGTGAGGCTTTCATGTTGAATGAATCTGTATTATGAAATCATACAAGTTTGTTTCTTTAACAACATGGATCCAACTGTTGGTTAACTAGTGCTGTGTACTATGTACCCACTTTTAAATACATGACTAGATATTAGGATTGAGTTTTTGTTCCTATTTATGTGGCCAAAATATTTAGATACACAAATTACTTTAGCTTATGTTGGCATTAATTTTGTTATGGACTTGATATTCTAAGTTTTAAAGGATAGTTTACAAGGCAAGTTATTGTAGATGTATGATGTTTACATAGCTGATTGCTGATAATGAAGATCTGCAGGAGAGCCTAGAAGCCTCGAAGGAGGATCAGGCTGTACTCTTGAGTGAACGAAATGAACTGAAGGATAAATATTCAGAACTTTCTACAGCTTTCCAAGAAGTTCAAGAAGAAAACAAGAAAGTTCATCGTACAAGACTGCCAAGTGCAAAACAGTGGAATTACAACATGTACAACCCCTATGTTAACCCCGATTCTTTAGCTTCAGAACTGGAAAGTTCTTTTGGTAGAGACAGTGAAGGCTATGCATCAGATGAGTTATTGTAAGTCTAATAAGAGGAAAACACAGACTTTGTCTTTTTATATAGTTTGATTGACCTTGCTACATTGATACAAAGGTAATTTCACATCTTTCTATGTGTCTGTATGTATCTGTGAACACAAAATACTGATGGAAGCTGTAGGATATGGCATAATGGTCAAGATTACTTTCATTGTTACTGAACAAAAATAAAGTACAGAACAACTAGTTAACTTCACAAATGACTGAGTTAATTTACCTTGTGAATCAAAGCAGTCAAATTTATCTTGCAAGTTTGATTAACTCACTTAATTTGAAATGTAGATGGATTATGTAAGCTTAAATCAAAATCTTCATATTTAAGTTTTATCTAAATCCGTAGCTGTCAATAATTCTGTCATCCAAACAGATTATAGAAAATTTGTTAAGCATTTTGATGTAACATACGTTTTTTTGTATATTTTTATAGGTCGCACAGTAAGCGAGTATTTCAGACTGTGCACTATGCAGCAAGACAGAAGTCATCTCGACAGCGTCGAAACACGGGTTACCATTATCAGGAGTCTACCCCACAAAGACAACGGACAAGGTCATCTCTGTCTCTAAGCCATTTGCCATCTTCTTCTTCCTGCTTTAATGATAGTTTTGTTTCTGATTGTGAGTCCTTATATGCAGAAAGCTGTCACACTGATGATGAAGAAAGCCATTACTCGTAAGTATGTCTGAAATATTTATTTAAATCATGGATATACACGTTAACGTAAGTTTGACTACTATTTATAATATTTCTAATTTTTCATTCTACTTTGAATAGTAAGTAAATCAATTGTGTTTTGCAAATTGATAATTCTCTGTAGAACAAATATTTTCAGATAACTTTTAGGTAATATGTCATATTTTCTGACACAACTTATTACACTAAAGAGAAAACATCTCTTCAACTTTAAAAAAGTATACAACAATTTCATAAGAATAAAATGGTTTATTAAGAAAGCATAAATTGTTCAATCTACATGTTTCAGTAAGGGTATGTTCTCATCATCTTCAGCAACAATTGTTTTGTTTCAAAAACTTGTGATTCTATATACACAGTTTGTAGAAACACAGATAATAATATTACCTGAAATGGAATATAATGCACATTGTCATATATAATAGTGCATATTGTTATAAGATCATTTTCTAAAAAGGACATTTCAAGGAATGCTGGACCAAAACTTTTATTTAATGTCTTTTTTATTATTTCTAGTGATTCTCTAAAGTTTAATTCTTATTCATTACTTGTTAGACTGATCTCCAAGAGACCAGTCTGTAGTAGGGGATAACTTTGTCGCATCCTTAGCCAAAGCAGTTTGTTTTTAATTTTTGATGTCACCGTTGTGTTCTTTCAATCTAAACTTCAAATTTCTACTTACCTGTTCTGTATAGAGCATGCCATGTGTGCATGGAGTTTTATAACTACTAGTTGATCTTCTTGTTGAACTTTGTCTTTAGATTTGCAGGCAATGTTGTATAATTCACAATAGGTTAGTTGACAATTAGTATATTTTTAAACATATTTCCAATCTGATTAGAGATTAATCGAACATATGGCAAACAGGTCCTCTTATTAGTTGAGGATATTCAACCTCGTAGATTGAGAAATATTCAGGGGGGTGAAATTCTGCCAGTACTCACTGGTACTGTGTAGTGGAACTTATTTTTTAAGGGGGTAGTACAATGACTTATTTTTAAGGGGGTAGTACCGGGACTTATTTTTCAATGGGGTAGTACTGGAACTTATTTTTAATGGGGTAGTACTGGAACTTATTTTATAAGGAGGTAGTACCGGGACTTATTTTTAAGGGGGTAGTACTGGAACTTATTTTTAAGGGGGTAGAACTGGAACTTATCTTTAAGGGGGTAGTACTGGAACTTATTTTTAAGGGGTAGTACCGGGACTTATTTTTAAGGGGGTAGTACTGGAACTTATTTTTAAGGGGGTAGTACTGGAACTTATTTTTAAGGGGGTAGTACCGGGACTTATTTTTCAAGGGGTAGTACTGGAACTTAATTTTAAGGGGGTAGTACTGGGACTTATTTGAGCTGCTTTGTCATTTTTTATGTTTACATATAGATTTTTTTTTCTTTTTCAAAAACAGGTCCACTTCACCCAGCTGAGTACCTCTACTTTATTTTTTGAGTACTGGAAGTAGTTATAATATTATAGTTTTTTTTAGTTATGAGATTAAACACTATAAACTACAATAAGTTGTAAGATATTTAGTCTTCAGAATAAGTACAGATTATCGTGGCTACCTAAACAAAAGTGTAAAAGGATGATAACTTCTAAGAATAAAGATGACACAGTATCTTATATGGTGGTGAGGCAATAGATAATAGTTTGTAATAAACTGTTATGGTTAAACAATTGTTATTCCTTTATTTGATTAATTTATTTCTTATTTGAATATGAAAGATACATTCATCGAAGTGTAACAGTGGCTCAAAGTATAATTGATTTTCAGTTCAATCAGTAGTTTAGGAAGACCAGGAGCTCCAGGGTCAAGTGATTTTGAAGCAGCTCTATCCCGATTAGGGATTCAGAGAGATTCGTCAGTCTTCTCTTGTTTAAATCAAACAACCAAATCTGATATCACCGAGGATTTATCAGAATCAAACCATAACTGGCTTAGGGACAAGGAGATGTTACACAGACTTAGTATCCTTGCTGGTCAAAGTAATCATCACTATCATATGCCCGAAAAATTACAGATCATCAAACCTCTAGAAGGTAATGTTACACCCAAATAAACATTATGAACGTTTCTTGCAAAATGTTATACAATCCAAAGAAGTTTCAGTATCGTTGAAATTGTGTATTATTGGATTTTATATAAAGGCATTTTTGGGTAGTTTATTACAAATGTTAGTAACACCTATCATAAATATTCAAATAGTCTAGTATTAACTAACACTGGAATTCACTTTAAGACTGTAATTATAATACTAAACAGTTAAAAAAGTTAACATAACATAATATTTTGGGACAAAATGGGACCTATTGTTCTATCTAGGCTGTTCCATCCTCGAAACTAAATTAAAATGATTAAAAATAAATAATAATGAAAATAAATTTTAAACTCATCTCTTTTCATTCATATACTTATCAAGCTTTTTTCTTATACTCACTTAAATCTACAACATCTGAAGGCAACCCATTCCGATGCCCAACCACCCTGTTAGAAAAATAAAACTGTCTTAGCTGAAGATGAC